GGACCATGTAAATTCAGTCCAGCTATGTTTATTAGACTGAAACCCCAGCTCCCAAGTAATGCCAGCCACAACATTGTGAATTCGTGCCAGTCTCATCCTCTTGTATCTCCCATGCTCCTCAGGAAATGTAAGAAAATGTTTTTCTCCCTGAGCCTGGCCTTCATAATTCCATTCCATCACACAAATAATGTTCCCTATCTCGGGAATCCAAGAATCATTGTAGGTAATGGATGACTGTTTTGGCCAACCTGTACTTTCCATTCCATGCTGGAGAACATCTGGAGAACTTCCACCTTCACTGTTACATCCTTCCAAGATGAAACACAAAAGTACCACCTTCGTGATTTAGGCAGCATTCTGGAGACTTCAGATGTCTCCCACACTGACATCCATCTCATGCAAGGATATAATAACTTCCACTCCCACCAGTGCAAGTGACTTGTGGGGTAATTGACCTTGACCCCCCCAGTCATCTTGAATGTTTTTTAGTATTTATGTGTAGGGTTGTTTGATAGTCGGATTTTAATTGATTAATTAATTTTAATTATTCACATGGGATTGTTTTTTTAATGACTTGGGTTTTTGGTTTAATTGTGAGCTGCCCAGAGTCACCCGTTGGGGGAGATGGGCAGCATACAAATTTAATAAACAAATAAAATAAAGAATTTTAGCATAGAAAAATGTGCCTCAAACCAATTGTTAAATGCTATAGATGTGGCCACTTGAGAAGCCTAGGAGTAAGTTATAGGTTTCTTTGAACATTTAAAATGATCTATTTATTCATTTATACATCTATTCATTGATTCAATCTGTACCCACCCCCGTCAAACAGACTCTGGCTGTTCACAATGATTACGTACAATAAAACTTCCATTGTAAGTGCATTAAGTTATAAAATCAGATTAAGAAAAATGACATAAACCATAGGGATCATCTTCTTCACTATAGTCCTTCTGAAACACTTAGCTTTTAGCAACTTCTGAAAGGCAAGTAATTTGGGGACAGATCTGATGCCCACAGGGTGGCTGATCCACAGCACATGTGGCCTCAGCCCCAGAAGCAGTGTCTCCCTCTACTTGCTATCCCCCTTGCAGGGCAAAAGCCCCAGACACCACACAACAGACAAAGTAGGGACATACTTACACCCAGATGTCTACAACAGTTATCAAGAAATAATTCTCTTTTAAATCTAGGCCAAAGAACAGAAGGAACTCTTGTGTCTAAAAGGCAAGTGTCTGAAAGTGAAGGACAAGTCTCCAGCAGTGGGGGAAACACAGTGCACTTGCTCCATGAAGGAGCAGCAGAAGAAGAAGAGGAGGAAGAGGAGGAAGAGGAAGAGGCAATTGAGGAGGAATGTGAAAAGGAGATCATCATCCACACGGAGGATGCAGAAGAAGTCATTGAGGTCACCAGCGAGCGCAGCAGTGATTTGTGCCTGGAACATCGGGATGATGAGGTGAGCTACGAGGAATCGTGCAAACTGCAAAAGGAGGAGGAGGAGGAGGAGGAGGAGGAGGAGGAGGAGGAGGAAGAAGATGAAGAAGACCATGAAGAAGAAGAGGAGGAAGAGGAGGAGGAGGAAGAAGAATATGAGGAGGAAGAAGAAGAGGAAGAGGAAGCAATGGCTGAAGTAATCTGTCAAGAAGCTCCTCACACATCTCAGGATACCCCCAAAACCCACTGTGAAAGACAGATGGTCAACCCCAAGCCGGAATATTCTGTCATTGTGGAGGTGAGGTCTGATGATGACAAGGATGATGATTCGCACTCCCAGAAGTCCACTGTGACTGATGAATCCGAGATGTATGATATGATGACTCGGGGGAACCTGGGGCTGTTGGAGCAGGCCATTGCACTGAAAGCTGAACAGGTCAAGGTGGTGAGGGAGCCTAGCCAGCAGCTGACAGGAGAGCATGCAAAACATTTCCAAACTGAGGAGAAGCAAAACAAAACCTTGGATTCCATCAGGAAGAACTATTACAGCAAAGGTAAGAGATTTGGGACAACCCAGCTAGGCTTGGTCAGGTGTAGAAGACCTCAGCCCTCTTGATTTCCAACATGTAGACTCACTCCACTTTGGAGGAACATGCTGCTTCCAGCCCAATGCTTTCAAATGAATCAGATGCAAAGGTATTCTGACTATACTAGATACTGCATAATATGTACTGGATACTAAAATAGAGGCAACTTTTCATCTTTCCACTTGCCACCCATAACATGAATCTGGGAGTACTATTTTTGCTGAGGGGTGATCACTGTGGCAACTCAGTCAATATTTACCTGAGATGTCTTGGGCTGTCATCTCTCGGCAGTTTACACTGACAACAGGAATCAGAAACCCACTCTTGTCTGAGGTTGCACAACATATGAGCCTCAGCTAAAATGGGGCTGGGCAATTGGCCATTTGGCAAACTTGGGACCTCATGGTCCTAGCATATGTGTGAATCAGATCTTATCATTAAGCCATCATACGATTTATTGGTTAGTGCGAGTGATGTGAACAATGGTGTTTTATAACCCAGATTTAGGATTTAGCCCGTATTATTTCATTATTTACGGTGCTTATAGGTCATCCCAGTCAACTGACTCAGAGTGGTGTAGAGCTCCCCAAATCCATAATTTGGGCTAAAATAAATAATCAATAGATAATAATCAAAGATTAAAACCAAAAACATAATGATAAAATGACTATATACACCAGGAATCACAGTTAATTGTAATTATTCATCAAGAGGGATATAGTTATAGCAGCTCTGCTCTCAAGACATGATGAAATAGTCACTTTCTGAAGATCAGGAAGGAGGAAGCCATCCAAAAGTCTGGAGGAGTCCTGTTCCAGAGAAGGGGGATGTTGACTGCAAAGGCATGTTCCGTGATCCCTGTAGGTAGCAATCTCTGACTGAGTGGACACATAAGGGCCTGCCCTGTTAGATCTTACTGGGTGGGCAGATGATGTTGGGAGAAGGTGGCCTCATAGATATCCAAGCCCTGAACTCTAAAGGGCTGTATATGAATCCAACCTATTACGGGTGGAACAATAGCAAGCAAAAATTCAGACCTGGATATGTTCCTTGCTTCAGTTCCATAGCTGTAAAATGAAGACCACCTTGATCCTCTTAACATTTGTTAGACAGGACTTCGACTTCCAGAATTCCCAGCTGACAGGATCAAGAGTCATACTGCTTAAGGAGCCTGGGAGTTGTAGTCCCGTATTTCTCAAAACCAACAGATTGGGTGTGATTGGTATAGAGAGAGAGAATCTGTCAGCCTTTCATATCAAGAAAATAGTCTGGCAAAAGTGAAGGATAAATACATAGGTAATACCTTTCCATACACTGCCAATTAACCCCATTAACTGAATGTATTACCTCAAGATATGGCAGTTAACTTTGGCAAAGCTGATTTGAAGAAAGGAATAGATCATGAAGGTAGATCTGAAGATAGATATGGACACTGTTGGATTCAAAGGTACTGTGCTTCTGATAAGATACAAGTCTCCAGAGTGGGCATCTTAGTTATTATACCTTGCTTCCTGGGGGTACATTGCCCATCACTTCCAGAGACTGAGCGTAGAGTTAAGTAGACATTTGAGCTAATAAACTAAGGCAAGTTCTTCAGTTTGATGTCTGTAGGGTTCCAGTTCAATAGCATAAGCTGTTCCTTGCACATTTATAGATGATAGAGCTGCACAAAGCTTTGAAGGGACATTTCACTTCAATGATGCTTGGAGCAAAGCTTCAAAGCTACGTTGAGAGGCAAAGCCTCCCCCTTCTGTTTCTTAAAGAAAAGCTGCTTTATTTTGCATTACTTCCAACACTTTCAGAACCAGAAAAGGCTTCTGAGCAAGTGCGGAAGCTTTTTCTGGAAGAACTGGAGGAAGGTGATATAAAAAGTGTTCCAGCAAGGCAGTTTGTATCACTGCTGCCCCCTTGATGAGGCAAATAATGTCATTTCCACACCATCATATATCTTGCTGAGCCAAAGCATTGCTCCCTCAGGGAGGCTAGCAGATGATAAGAATGTAGAAGATCTGATCTGCCTAGGAGCATTATCCTGCAAATATTGTTAAGCATAAGATAGGTCACTATATCCAAAGAAACAAATATAATTCCCAGCTATATCTGGACAGATTGTTATTTCCATATTATTTTGGTTCCAAAGAACATAATATCCTGCTTGAGTGGATGCTTCTATAGCAGTTTCATAGATTTGCCTTTGAAAAGCAATGTGGAAGCCACATCCAGAAGTTCTCCCTTCCACATTCAGAACTGGAGGAAGCCCCAGAAGTTCTTCCTTCCTTCCCTACAGATTTGTGTAAAGAATTTCCAGGGACACCAAAAGTGGTTCTACATGGCTTGACAGGTTTCTTGGAAAAATTATACCCATCTTAAACTTCTTATAATGTCCTTTATTCACCCGCTTCTCCATTCGTTTTCTAGATTCTTCAAGACCTGAGAAGCGTGAAATCAAATGTCCAACTCCAGGCTGTGATGGCACTGGCCATGTCACAGGACTTTATCCTCACCATCGCAGTTTGTCTGGCTGCCCGCACAAAGACAGGATCCCTCCTGAGAGTAAGTGTGCATTAAACTCCACCAGAGTCATGCTGCAACAGCAGTTAGTACTATTCTTATGAAATAACTCTTTATAACAGTGTTGTCCAAACTTGGCCACTTTAAGATGAGTGGACTTCAACTCCCAGAATTC